GACTACTTGTACATCTTTAGTATGATCCTTTTGATAACTGTATCTTGAGGGGGGGGATTTTATTGTTTATTTCAGGGTTTCCCAACCTTGGCAATTTTAAGATTTGTAGACTTAACTCCCAGAATTCCTCAGTTAGCCATACTGATAACACCCCCCCCAATGTCCATTTCTTCTTGCTCTGCCTTATTTTACAAACATCTGTTTTAATCCTAGGCTCCATCACAAACTTCATCTTTGTCCAGTGTGTTATGTGAAGGGAATTCCTTTGACAGATCTAATTTTAAATTACAAAACAAACACAATCAATATTCAGAGCAGATAAGAATCCTTGTGCATATGGAATAAACTCATGCTGGCTCTAATAAATGCTGGTTTTTCAACTCAGCTTCTTGATTTGAGTTTTTACTCTCGGTTTGCATGTTGATGTTCTTTTAATATGTCTTTAGTTTTTAATATGACCTGGAAGTAAGTGCGGCCAATTTTTATGTGATTTCATGATTTGTGAGTGTGCCGATAGGTCAACTACAATCAGAAATCTCTATATATTGCTGATTGGAAAATTTTATGGACTCTTTGTAGGGACTTTTTGCATAAAACTAAACAAATGAATTTATAATTGATTGCTTTGATGGTTAGACAAGCTAGATTATAGAGAGAGTCCCAATGTAACTTCAGAGAAAGAGATAAATTTATAATTGTTCCTATAACTGAAGCCTCATCATTTTTCTCTTTTGTTTTTGTACTTTTCTTTTTACACTTCACCTTCTCTTTTAATTATTCCTTTTTCTTTTTTTTTCTTCTTACTCTCTTTGAGTTAATTCTTACTCTTATTTTTTAAATTTTCAATAAAATTGTATTTAAACAAACAAACTACAAACTAATCTGGAGAAACATCTAATTTAGCCTTTATAACTGGAGATCCTTCAGATATGTTCAAACTTCAACTTCCAAAAATCCCCAATCCTTCAAAATACGTGAAGAGCCCTGTGTCTGTTTTGCATGCATTGCCACCCATTTAAGATTTGGTTAAGGTTTGGTTGTGATCGAGATTACCATCTTGACTTTTCTGACCCTGGGGGTGATGGCGGGGGGGGGGGAATAGGTAAACCAGCACGTGATCCACAATTCTGCTAAGGAAGAAAGATCATTTTCTCTATTGGCTGCACAGCCAAAAGCAGAGGGGGTACATTCACCACTCAGAATATCAAATCCCCCTCCCCTAATTTGTCAGGGCGTGGCTACAGAGGCAGGGAAGGACTTGGCAAATTGCCAGCCAATCATGTGTGTGTGTGTGTGTGTGTGGCTTATGTGGAAATCAGGACAATGTGACCCCCTGCAAAGTAGTTTCTGTTGTTAAGTGAGACATTTGCTAAGTGAGTGTTGCCCCATTTTGTGACTTTTCTCTCCACTCTTGTTAAGCGAATTGTTGCAGTTTGATTAAGTTAGCAACCCGGTTGTTAAGCGAATCAGGCTTCCCCACTGACTTTGTTGGAAGGTCACAAAAAGGGGATCACAGCCACGGTCATAAACACGAACCCAGTCTCCAAGCCATTGGGTTTTGATGACGTGACCCTGGGGATGCTGCAAAAAGGTCGTAAGTGTGAGAAAAAAAAAACCCGGTCAGAAGTCACATTTTTCAGTCCCGTTGTAACTTTGAACCGTCACTAAGCGAACTCTTGTAAGTCGAGGAAGTACCCTGTATTAGAACTAGTCTAGGCCAGGGCTTTTCAACCAGTGGTACGGGTACCACCTGTGGTACATTGGCACCTGGCAGGTGGTACGCGACCATCCTAGAAAAGTGGTAGCGGGGAAGGGGAATGAGCTGAACCGGTGGCAGCACTGCACAAGCTTGAGCGAGAGATGGCTGGAGCTGCAGGGCTGTCAGGGCTCCGTGGAAGCGCCAGGATTAGTGCTTCTTTGAGACTGTCAGGGCTCAGTGGAAGCGCCAGGCTCCAGCTGGAGCTCGGCACTGATCCTGGCGCTTCTGCTGAGCCCAGAAGAAGCACCGATCAGCTGGAATGTTGCAGCATCTGCAGGGTCTTGTGATTTACATTCAGATGCTTGGCAACTGATTCATATTTATGATGGTCACAGTGTCCCAGGGTCATGTGAAGTGACCAAAACCTGCTGCAACCACCCAGCAGATGGGGGGGGGGGAATAAAAACCAAACATCCCCCCCACCCCACCCCACTGCCAATCCTCAACAGAAATCCTCACAACAATGAAAACCTCGGACAGGGGGAAGAGCGCCACCGGGTGGGCAGGCAGGTGTCTTGCTCGGCTGTGGCTTGGTGGGTACTTTTTCAGTGCCATTGTACCTTCGAACACTCACTAAGCCAGTGGTTCTCAACCTGTGGGTCGGGACCCCATTTGGGGTCGATCGACCATTTCACGGGGGTCGCCAAGCAAGGCTGTCTGCCATTTTTTTTGTCCGCCATTTTTTCCCCCTTTTCCGGCGGGTGCCTTACCTCCCTTGGGCTGGGCCAGCTGGTGGTCGGCCTGCTCCGTCTCTGCCGCTTGCCAGCTATGCCTCGGCCGGCACAGGGGGCAGAACCATGCATGCGCGGCGCTCCCGGGCAGGGAAAGTCCTCGACTTATGACCAGTTGGGTAGTCCTCGACTTACGACCGGTTTAGTCCTCGACTTACGACCGGTTTAGTCCTCGACTTACGACTGGTTGGGGTCGCGGCATTAAAAAGGTTGAGAACCACTGCACTAAGCGAACTGTTGTAAGTCGAGGACTACCTGTACTTTATCACTTTTTTCCTTTTGGGGGGAAGGGTCAAGTTTTTGACACCTTGCTAGGCGACTGGTGGTACTCTTGATGTTGCCATATCCTAAAAGTGGTACAGTGGGTGAAAAGGTTGAAAAGCCCTGCTCTAGGCTACAATAGGAGATTCCGGAAAGCCGGAGAGACTCCAGGCTCGGCACCTTCCAGTTTCTTTTTCCCTCCCTGCGCGCTCTGCCTTTGGTTTCGCTCTTGGTTGCGCCGCCCAGGTTCTTCTGGCCACCTTCCCGGGCCGGGGGAGGCTTTAACGTCCCCCGGGGACGAGGCCTGTTCCTGGGATCTCCCCCTTCCTTCTTGCACGGAGCCCCCGTTTCCCAAAAACCCAGCGCCGGGCCGAGAGAGGGCGTGAAAGGCCCTCCGCAGCAATGTCCGCGCCGGCCGCGCTCGCCCCCCGCATCCCAGCCGCCTTCCCAAAGCTCAGGCTCGTTCGCTGCCCGCCGCCAAAGAGACCCGCAGGCCGGCTTCGTCTGCGGGGACCGAGGAGCCGCCCCGGCCAGGAAAGGCGCCGCGCTCGGCCCGCCGTCCCGTCCCGTCCCGTCGCCTTACCTGCCCAGCCCGCGCCGCCCCGGGAGGGAGGAGGCAAGCAAGGCCGCCGGCCAGGTGGGCGCCGCGGAAAGTCCCTGCTCGCGCGGAGGGAGAAGCTGGCTGAAGGAGGCGGGACGGCGGTGGCCCTGCCTTCGCTGACCAGCCCAGGTGCGCGGCCACCTGTTTCACCTGGAGATCCCACCTGCCCGGGCTGAGATGTGTCGCCGCTGCTCTGGGTGACCAGCCTTCCTGGCAAAAGGCGAGCTTGGTTTCCAGGAAAGTCATCTCGAGGTCCAAAGGTGAGCTTGAGCTTTTCTTGCCCTGCTCAGGTGACAGCACCTAGCAGGTCAGGGATAGGCAACCTTGGCTCTTTTATGACTCGTGGACTTCAACTCCCAGAATTCATAAAAGAGCCAAGGTTGCCTACCCCTGACCTAGCTGGACCAGCTTAGCGGGATCAGACACGATCAGTGCTTGAATGGGAGACCACGAGGAAATCTTCAGGCTGGCAGGCTGCGCTGGCCAACCCCAAACCACCCTGGGACAAGATGGGTAGCCACCATTTGGGGCCACGAGAAGCCACCAGGAGACGAGGGTGTGGTCAAAAAAGTCAGGGGAGCTTTTGTTTCTACTTGGAAACCGCTTCTGGGCTTTGTGCTTGAGGTGGGGGGGAAAAATGGTATCACTGGAGGTTTTTAAGAAGAGACTGGACAGCCATTTGTCCGAAATGGTATAGGGTTTCCTGCCTGAGCAGGGGGTTGGACTAGATGACCTCCAAGGGCCCTTCCAACTTTACTATGATGATGATGATGATGATGATGATGATGATGATGATGATTTTGGTTTTACCAATTAGACCAGGGGTGTCAAACTGCCGGCCCACGGGCTGGATGCGTCATGCCAAAACTGTGCCCACCCCACTGCCGGCAACGGAAAAAAAGTCACAATACATTGCAACACATCATGTGACATTGCAAGTTTGACACGCCTGGATTAGATTGATTTGCCGATACAGAAATGGCTAGTGCATGCTATTACAGAAAAGTAAAAAGTTGAGATTTGATTTTAATGTCTGATTTTACTGCAACAGAGAGAGTCGGAGGTCAATGCCTTTTGTTTCTCCCCCTCCTTTCTTCACACCTTTTTTGTTTTCCTTTTTTCTACTGTTGTCTCCCTCTATTTGCTTTTGTATTTTCACGTTTTATGTTATAAATGAATAAAACTTAATAAAAAAAAAAGTCAGGGGAGCCATAATGGTGTGATTAAATCTCTAGCTGGTTTTATTTTTATTTTTGTGCAGCACACACAAAACTGTTGTGGCTGCCCTCTTAACTTTGGACCACACCACACAGTCGCCGCTGCCTGGACTTGAAAATGTCTTAATGGGATTGTTGTTTGCACAATGGTCCCTATGTTTTTTGCGGGGGGGATGGGGGAAGAAACTTGGGGGATGTTCTGGAGCAGGGGTAGTCAACCTTGGCTGTTTTATGACTCGTGGACTTCAACTCCCAGAATTCCTGAGCCAGCTAAACTAAGCTGGCTCAGGAATTCTGGGAATTGAAGTCCACAAGTCATAAAAGAGCCAAGGTTGACTACCCCTGTATCTGGGGGATGGAATCTAGGCATTGAGGTGATTAAGCAGCAAGCTGCCTTTCTCAGGGATGCTTCCCATCCATGATTAATTTACCCATGGCGTATACAACTGGATTTTCTTGGCCTACATGCATACTGGATGTATGATCTGATGATCTGGATTTGTAATATATACACCTTTCTCTGCTCAAAGCTGGTTGACAATTTGTGGCTTGATTAAGTGCACAAGGTGAAAGTAACTGAGTCCATTTCAGCTCCTGGTGACTTCTGGGCCATCCGTTCTTGATCAAGAATGGGTGGATTTTTCTATTGTCCTCCTCGTTTTTTCCAATCTGACCTATAATGTTAGGGTTTCCTGATGGTCCTCCATTCAATTACTACAGGCATGCTGGTCTGCTTAGCATCAACGCCCAAATAAGCTAGGCAGATGTACCACCTGCTAAGAGTTTGCCAAGTACAAATAGGGCCATAAATATCTTTTTTCTTCATCTTTTTGGGAATGATGCTCAGTTTCTTATTTTTATGCTATTCAGAGAGGATTGGCAAAGATTAGCTTGTCAGAGAACCAGAAAAACTCTTTAAGATTGCCTTAAAGTCAAATATTGATGGTGAGTTACGATTTCCATGAAATCATAGAGTAGGGGTCTTCATACTTGGTCCTTTTATGACTTGTGGACTTCAACTCCCAGAATTCCTCAGCCAGGCACGCTGACGTTCACAAGTCATAAAAGGGCCAAGTTTGAAGACTCCTTGGATTATAGAATAACAGAGTTGGAAGGGACCTGTGAGGTCTTCTAGTCCAACCCCCTGCTCAGGCAGGAAACTCTATCCCATTTCAGACAAATGGTTATCCAATCTCAGAGGTTTTCAAACTTGGCCCTTTTATGACTTGTGGACTTCAACTCCCAGAATTCCTCAGCCAGGCATGTTGGCTGACGAATTCTGGGAGTTGAAGTCTACCAGTCATAAAAGGGCCAAGTATGAAGATCCCTGTCTTATACTCAGTATGAGAGTATAAGAGTATAAAAGGTTGCATGGACCTTAGAGAGCATCTAGTCCAAACTTTGCCCAGGATGCGAGACTCTTATCACTAAAACATTTTGGGGTACCAAGAGTCAGTTCATGGTTGGGATGTAGCTTCAGTCCAATGCTTCATTTCATTGAATCTCCATGTTTGTTTTCCAGAAGGTTGTAGATCCCATTACATGTTGGACTGATGATTTTAGAGCAGTGTTTCTCCACTTTAGCAACCCAGTTGTGATGGGTTCAAGTCACTCTTTCAGTGTTTTTGTAACTTAGAATGGTCGCTAAACAAATAGTTGTAAATTGAGGATTACCTTAGTGGTGGGATTCAGCCGGTTGGCACCACTTCGGCAAAGCCCGTAGCTAATTTTTTGTTGCCCAGGCCCAGAATGGACTTCTGAAAGCGGCATCCACACATAGAACCGGTTGTTCACATATTTGAATCCCACCACTGGATTACCTGTATTTCGATTTATTTTTATATTTGGTTAGCTACCCAGAGTTGCTAGATGAGCAGCTGTAGAAATCAAATAAATAAGCTAAATTAATATTCACCTTGGAATGATAACAGTTCCATATGCTTTACCCATCAAACAGCCAATTATTTACCTTAACTCTTCCTGTTCTGTGGCATCATTTCTTCAGAGGCACCCAAAGGAGTGGGGTGAAATGTGCATTAAAAAAAAAAAAGCAGAATGGTGGCTGCCATCTTGATTTTTTTTTGACACATAGCCCACCCACATCATGGAAACCGTTTTGCTTATTTTTATTTACATGAATGATAAAAATAAAATTTATTATTCCTCTCTTAGCTGTGTCTTAAATGCCAATGACTTGGTGTGCACAATGTCATATTGCTGTTTTGGAGTAGAGAGAAATTTTGCTCTAATCCTAGTTTCCCAATCTCGACAACTTTAAGATACGTGGGCTTCAACTCCCAGAATTCCCCAACCAGCCATGAGATGCTAACTTGAGAATTCTGAGAGTTGAAGTCCGTGCATCTTAAAGTTGCCAAGATTGGGAAACTCTGCTTTAATTAGCCATAATTTTTGAACTTGTTAATGATGGCCATGCAAGCTTTTTGTGTTAGATCCTTGATCCACAAGGAACCTTGTCGCATCTCATTTCTCCATCCATTATTTCTATTTTCCTTTTATCCATTTTTGCACATTAACAACACAACAGAAAATGTATATATGGATTTTCAATTCCCTCCCAATGGATCTAGAATTAATTTTTAACCTAATTTGAAACGGGGGTTCTTAACCTAGGGTCCAAGTACCCAGAAAGGATAAATTTCAGGAGATTTGTGAACTTTGATGGGGGAAAATAATTCACCTTTATTTTAACTAATCTCGAACTGAATGTAGCATTTCATTCAAAAAAGAATTGTTCAATAATGTAATTTATGGCTACTAGACTCCAAAAAAAATTTTAATTTCAAGAAATCTCATTATTATACCTTATAAAAGGCATGTTATTTATTTCATAGATTAATAAAGAAGCATATGAATTACAATTCCAATATGAATCATAAGCACACAAATTAATGAATTATCGTTTTAACCATTTATTAAATGGAAAATAACTCCATTTTATGGAGCAAATATTTCTAATCACAGTATAATAGGTATGTTTGCTTTTTCTTTCTGGGTTTGTTGGGCCCAGGAACTTAATCCCCAAAATGAGATTTGGTTTAAGACAGACATGTCAAACTCGTGACGTCATGTGACGTCACACGATGTATCGGGACTGTTTTGCCATTGCCGACAATGGGGTGGGCGCGGCTTCCGCAGGCTGGCACTTTGACACCCCTGGTTTAAGACAATGTTTCTGAACCTTAGCCATTCTAAGATGTGTGGACTTCAACTCCCAGAATTCCTCAGCTAACATTGGTATTCTGGGAATTGAAGTCCATACATCTTAAAATGGCTAAGTTTGGGAAAGACTGATTTAGGAAGACATTCAACAGTGGGTAGGGTCAAAGAAATGAAAAAAAGGTACCTACCATTCCACATATTACATAAATAGGCTACCACTCCGCCTATTTTTGTATAAACACACAACCCACATAAAAAATGGACGCAACTTTGATCACCCTATCATGACTTCTTTGACTTTGATCACATTGTCATGACTTTTTTTTTTTTACCATTTCCTAACATTCAACCAAACTTGAGGTTGAATCAGGACCATAGAATATAGGGCCTCTTAGATTTTGACCTATAGACATCAATGGACGTTTTCCCGCTATGTTTGGTGCTAAAGTAGATGAACCAACCTGCTGATTAAAAGATGACAACCAACCCACCTTGATGTGAATAGAAACAAATGATGGCTTGATGAATGATCAAGAGATTGCAAGCTGTTGTAATTGCAATTAAAGCTTTGCAACCAGCCGAGAATCATCTGCCAACTCAGCAATGCAGCTTGCATTGAATTCTCTCCTCATGTCCAAATACAAAAAACTGTAATAGACCAAGAATAATGGAACATAATTAAAGCTAACAATGTCTATCAAAACGGCCGCCCTTTGCTTTGGGCATGAATTCTGCCTGTTTGGCAGGCATGTATTTAGATGCAGATTTCCTGGCAGGCAAATGCATGGCTGAGGAAAATATTAATTGATTACATAACCTTGTCTGTTCTGCAATGCTTGCAAACCACATTGCAACTGGTCTCTCTCTCTCTCTCTCTCTCTCTCTCTCTCTCTCTCTCTCCCTCTCAGCAAGAGTCCTGTTTTGGAAACTTCCATACAGGTTTTTCAGTGTGCAGCTAACAAATTTGTGGTGGAGATTAAGCAGTAAGTAAACAAGTAGTAGGACAATCTTGGATATCATCATCTTGCAATTCTCAAGTTGATTCAATTGGTCAGCAATAATGGGCCTCCAGATTGTAACTAGCAAAGCCCCCACCCCATCTTTGTCCAGCCCATCACCCAGAATGACCTGCTCCTCCCCACCTGTGGTTCCTTAGAAAGGCTCACACTGGTTTAGCATCTTGTTCTGGGGCTTCCTAAGAGTGAGGTGTTGAAAACAATGACCCAATATGTCTCTCTGAAGGACCTTCATTTAAAAAAACAAACAAACTTTGAGCAGATGCCAGAACTTGGAGGCCATCCAGTTCAAATCCATTTACTCAATGGTGGGATTCAGCCGGTTCGCACCAGTTCAGCAAAACCGGTAGCTAAGTTTTGTTGAGTTTGGAGAACCAGCTGAATACACACTGCTTTTGGAGGCCTCGGAGGCCTGGAGAAGGCCTCTTAGGCCTAGAATGGCCCGCTGAAAGTGCATGGATGCCACTTCCAGAAGTCCGTTCTAGGCCTCGGAGGCCCAGGTCTGCGTCCACACAGAGAACCGGTTGTTCAGGTATTTGAATCCCACCACTGCATTTACTATAGGATCTACTAGAGCAGTGATGGCAAACCTTTTAGAGACCGAGTGCCCAAACTGCAACCCAAAACCCACTTATGCATCATCGGGGGCTGGGTGGGCGTGGCCCATTGGGTGGGCATGGCTGTGGTAACAGCAGACTGGGTGGGACTAAAAAGTTCAATCAATCAATTCCAACTTTGCGAGATCTTTTTTTTCCCCGTGAGAAGTTGAAATTGATTGATTGAACCTTTTTTTTTTTGTACACGGCGGCGGAGGCCTAAAGCGAAAAGGTTTTATAAAACCCAGCTGAAGGCCTAGGACTGGGGCGAGGGCGTGCGTGCCCACAGAGAGGGTGGCACGCATGCCATAGGTTCGCCACCACGGTACTAGAGCATGTCCGAGATGACCATCCATCCTGTCTGAAGATCTCCAGTGAACAACTGACCACTTCATGTGGCATTTGTTCTATTGGCTGGCAGCTCATGCAGTCAGGGAGTGCCTCTTTAAGACTAACCTGAATCTCCTTTCTTCAGTTTCAATCCACTTGTTTTGAGCCCAGGCGCCTCAGGCAATACAAGCACCCTCCCTCTTCTGTGTGACAACCATCTAGACCAGGGGTAGGTAACCTTGGCTCTTTTATGACTTGTGGACTTCAACTCCCAGAATTCCTGAGCCAGCCATGCTGAGGGGAAAGGGAGAGGTTTCCAAGCTGAGCCATGCTGGCTCAGCAATTCTGGGAGCTGAAGTCCACGAGTCATAAAAGAGCCAAGGTTGCCTACCGCTGATCTAGACATTGAAAGACTGCTACAATATCTCTCCTTTTATTTAAAAATACTCAGATCCTTCCACCATTCCATGCATGGTTTGATTTCCAGATCCCTCCCATCTTGGTGGCCATTCTTTGAACTTACTGCAGTGTGTCGTTGCCATTTTTGAACAGTAGCATCAGAATAAGGCCCGGTATTCGAACTGGAGCCTGAGCAGAGCTAAGTAGAGAACCCCATGTCCTGTTAATGTTTTCCCGAGATAGCATTGGCTCTTTCAGCAGCTGTCTTGCGCTGCTGGCCACCCACAATAGAAGTGAAAGTGTTCAGAAGAAACAGAGAAGGAGTTCTACATAATTGGAACTCAGAAATAGTTTTCAGTTCCTTGCAAATGAAACAGGTTCTCAACACTCAGGGGAGAAAAGAAAGCTTGAAGGAGGGGAACCCTTGAATGCAACTGTGGTCTTCAAGAACAGTCATGGTAGTTGGGGATCCATGACTGTGAAGAACTGAAACAAAGGTTCGTGACCCAGGTGCCTCTTAAGGAACATGGGAACAAAGCAACCACCTCTTTTGTTTGCTTTATTATTGTAGTATCAACAACAGTGATGGTACCATAAGAGGACTAAAGAAAAAGAGTCTATGTTAGTGTTGAAGGAACGAATGTGAGGAGGGAGCATGAAGGCATTTAGTTGTTCGAACCCCTGGGAAAGCAAAGGCAAGGCACAGGAATGGAGTCCCTATAGTCTGGGACAGGGGTAGGCAACCTTGGCTCTTTTATGACTCGTGGACTTCAACTCCCAGAATTCCTGAGCCAGCCATGCTAACCCTAACCCTAACCCATGCTGGGTCAGGAATTCTGGGAGTTGAAGTCCACGAGTCATAAAAGAGCCAAGGTTGCCTACCCCTGCTCTGGGAGATGGGTCAGCCAGCAAAGCTGCTTTTGTCCAGATGGGCAAGAAACAGGGCATCGCTCATCAGGTCCTGCTGTGGCCAGAGTCCAGACCAAGCACCAAACCAGCCCCTTGCCAATCCTCTGCTATCCAACTGGGATCTTAAGTTGGCATAAGAAACTGCACCAAGCAAGACACACAGATTGTCCACCAATCTACCTGTTTGGGGTAAAGTATTATACAACCATATATTGCCATTCTGGCCCAGGCAGAAGATGCCTGTGGAGGCCATGATGGCAGTGATTCATGCCAGTGAAACTGTACAGCTAGACTACCGCAACACACTCTCTATGGTAGTGCTTTTGAAGATGATCCAGAAGCTGCAGTTAGTCCGAATGGCGATGCCAAGGTTAAGCTGTCTAGCACCAGGGTGGCAGCCTTTGCACCCATAGCCATAATTTTCAGGCCATATTTAAAATGCTGGTGTTAACCCATCAACTCCCCCTTCAGGGCCACCCCTTCCAACTGGAATCAGTTCCTCCTGTCCTTCACCCATCAAAGTCTGGGGGCAGTGGAAACTTGGAGGCAGTCTTCTCACTAGGGATCCCAACATTGTGGACAACCTATGGCATGTGGTTCACTTGACCCAAGTTTTCTGACCTTCTTTATAGGCAGTTCAAATTATCATGTCCTGAAAGATGTGTTGGTGCTCTGGACCACCTTTTAAACCTTGTGTGTGTGTGTGTGTGTTTGGACTATTCCGTTTGTGCTGTTTGAAATTGTTCTGCTGGCAGCAAGATCTGACTGCTGGCACAGGAATATGAGGTAATTTGAGGGCTAATCCACATGGAGCTCCGTTTCCATCTGTCCTGTTTGCCATCATTTGCTCCCTAGAGACTAAAATGGAAGATCTGTAACTTGAGCTGGCCACGAACAAGGAGTCTATATTGGAGATGGTGACCCTTTGAGAGCTGTATGCAACAATATTTCCTTTTGATGTATGTCGATTGGTGTACATTCAAAGTGCCAATAAAATTATTATTATTATTATTATTATTATTAGTAGTAGTAGTAGTAGTAGTATTAGTATTACCATTACCACTACTACTACTACTACTACTAATTCATTTGGGCAATAGTTTCAATGCTATGAATTAAATATTGTGTTGTGGGTGTCTTGGCATATATTTTTGGGTTGATGTGCTTGTGTATTTTATTCACACTGCTATAAACCACTTTGGGTCATCTCCACTGGATGCTCAATCATATGTAACATAGATAAATAAATTAAGATGACATTGATAAAAATATTCTCTCTGGTTTCTTTTGTTTAAAAAAAAAAACCCACTCTGGACACACAGGCTCTCAACCATTCAGTAGCAAGCACACTATTTATTTAAATTAGTTTTACAAATTTCACTTGATTGGTGAAAGACGTGTGGATGTACTGAGAATCATTAAAAAATAGTACCTGCTATAAATCAAATTCTATTATATTTGGAACAACTTTTTTAAAATTAAAACCCTTTTCTTCCTTTTGCAGTCTAGAGACACATTTTAACTTTTGAAGAGCAGGATTTCATTTTAAGGAATTGTTTGGAAGTCATGAACATGGTTGTTAGCTTGATGAGGAAGGTAGGTTTTCTAATATTAATTGCCATTAAGACAGTTTCCTATTCAAAAAATCTTATCAAGGCAGTAATGAGGCAGAAAATGACACTTTTCCCCAACATGAATGCAAGGAACTTTTTCATACATGCATGTACAGTATGTCGGCTGTAACACCGATTTGCAAATAGGAATGACTGCTGATTAAGCACCACATACGTACTATTTTCAAGTCACCAAATACCACTTTAAGTTTAAAATTGTACACTTTTAAGTACAATAGAGATCTGTAAATAACCTTTCCATCAGCAGGACTCAAGTTCATCATGCTTAATTTCTCTTACTACTTTCACTGTGTCATAGAGGTAACTAATTTTTTCTGTATCCATTATGGCAGCTTGTCGTGAGGTCAGTTCCTATGGTTGGCTGTCTGATGCTTAGTTATATCCCAGATTTGCTTTTCCAAGTGCCCAAGCTGAGATTCTCTCCTCCTTTGTAATAGTTGGGCCCCAAAAGCACGTATCTACCTTATTAATGACAGTAGTATCCTGCGCTCTCTAATCCTGCTCTTGCTGAAATAAGTCAGCTCCAACTTGTCAGGGTTCAGCTCTTTTTGTGCATTCAACCTCTGGCTATGGCACTATGAGATAAGAATAAAAACACCCCCAAAACCCGTCCTTACTTAATTCCTGGAAAGGGGAGCCATATAGGACAACTGTCAATTCTTGAGTAAATGAAAAGAGTAGTTCAGAAGTTAACCCAGGCAGCTGTGAAATCCTCGTGCTCTCTTGTAATCCAATCCAATCCAAATAATTGGATTTCCTCTCCTTTTTAGTCCATCCGGTCTTCACATATGATTGGCGTTCTTTGCATTCCTTTGCTCAACCATTTCGATAAGGGTAAACTAGAATCTTCCAGCCAATGAGACCTGACAGAGGGGACTTCATGACTACTCTGACTCTTCTACAAGTCCCAACAACACAATGGTCTTCTCCTCTGAGAGAAGTTTAACACTGCAAGGGCTGCACAACAAGAGGGCCATTCTGAAAACTGGCCATGGCTAGGACAGCATGGGCAAACCAGGAAGGGACTTCCAACTTCCTTCTCCAGCAGACTTGATGGTGCCACCATTGCTTGCACATGAGAGACTAGATACATGCATGTGCATACATATGGGCATGTACACACCTGAGCTAATCCCAATTCATCACTCACCGGTGCCTGTGCTGCACTTGAATGCCACAAGCTGTCTATTTCTCTCCTAAACTATCACACTGGGATTTTGAGGAAGTCATCTATGTTCTTTTCTACATCAGGAGCATCCGTTAAAAGAATAACTGGATTCAACTTTTTTTTTATATATATCACGATACCTCTTTTCTTTTGTAATGCCGAAGAAAAATAAAGTTTACCTAGTTTTGACTGTTCTAAAATTCTAGAGTGTTGTCTCTTAATATGAGTCTCTTGTAGACAAATTATGTCCATTTTAAGTTTCTGTAGCCTATGAAATATTTTACTCCTTTTTGATGGGGAGTTGAGACCATTTATATTTATTAAGTATATTCCAATTTCCTCCATACTTTTAATTATTTCGGGATCTCAATCTTCTAGGTGAGCTTGTCTCTGATCTTTAGGTCTGACGTCTTCCTCTGATTGTGTCTTTTTTGGTAACTCTTCCTCTGTTTGCTTAGAAGTCTCTGGAGTAAACGTTCCCTCTGGTCTCTTAAACTCCATATCGCCTTTCTCCAAAAAGGCTCTGTGATTATTAAAAAATTCCTCTGCTTGGAATGGGGTGTCCAATCTATATCTTTTCGAGTCCCAAAAAATCAGCCCTTCTGGAATCAACAGTCTAAAATTCACTCCGCTATCAATCAGTTTCCTTGTTAAAAATTGATAATCTCTTCGTGCTTCCCTTATTTTTCTAGGACTCGGTTTAAGAACTACAAGCTCTTTATCTTTATACTTCATAGGTTGGTCCCTTACTATTCTCAAAATTTCATCTCGCCGATTTCTTTTAAGAAATCTAACATGGACCTCCCTGGGCACTCTGTTCCTTCTTGCGTAATTGGAATTGACTCTAAAAACCTGGTCCAATTCCCTATTCATTTGGTCCTTTTCCATTCCAAGTAAATCCGCCAGTAGTCTACTTGGTAGTCTTCCTCTACTTGGCTCCGGTTGGCTGACTCCTGCAAGAAAGGAGAATGCTGAGGAAATCCAAACTGGAAAAACACTGGGAAAGAAGGCAATCAATGGGAGGCAAATCACATCCCCAGGAGGAGGGGGCACTTATGAAGGACATTTAGGGAGATTGAATGTCAGACAGTATCTCAGGCTTGTTATAATTTGTGGCTCAGTTCAACCTGGATATAAAACCTAAGCTCCATCACTACCCATAGCTCAGCCTGGTCACGGATGGACCTCAATGTGACTTTATGAACTTAGCCTAAACAGATGCAACCTGACCACAAAGTGGCACCACCATTTCCCCAAGCCAGGATTATCCACACTTCTCTGGGGGGGGTCATCCTCTTTATCTGACTTGGAAGAGTAGGCAAAGAGGCCGGTGGACTTGTAAAGCACAACTCCTTCAGACCACGCTTTGTCTGTTCACATCCATATTGTACCCCGGGGAGCCAGAGCAGTGTTGGCCAAAATCAATGAAAATTCCATCTGAATCGGAATCAATCGATTCTAAAATCTGGTCCACGATGTTCTCAGGGCTGGCTGTGGGAGCGATGGCGAGCAAATCCGAATCCCGGCCTAACTCAAATGCCCTGGCCGGGTTGTCTATGGGATAGAAGAGTCCTTTGGGTTGATCAGACACACATTGCACTGAAGCAGCCGAAATCCTCTCCTGTTCTCCCGATGGTGGGATCTTCATGGTAAGCATGGAGCTCTTGGACCCATTGTCTGTGATGGTGGTGAGATTGGAGTAGCCCGGCATCTCGGCGCAGGAGGTCATTTCAGAAACCGAGTGTCGTCGGATGCTCGAGTTGTTGGCAGCTGCACCTTCTGTCTCATACTCGGCTACGGGAGTCAACAAAGGATTGTTGTAACTTTTGGATCTCACCACCGGATTCTTAGCAAGAATATCCCCCGATTTAGAGCGCCGAAAGAAGCGTTTTTCTGTTAACAAACACAGAGAACAATTAAAATTTTCACACTGCCCCTACCATGACAACCAACCCAGGTCTGTGCCCAGGTATCTGGATGGTGACATCAAATCAGTATGTGAACCTCCCTTTTCTGACACTTGTATTTTTTTTCCTGACCATTCAACTCTCCCGTGTCTGCTTGTATGACTGTGTCTCTTGGACATGAAACAAAAGAGCCTAATTGAAAGGAAGTATCCTGTTACCTTTGCTTCCCCAGGACCTCTGTAGATCAGTACTCATTTTGGTAGTTTCCTCTGCAGAAACTGGTGGTGTACATCCACACCGCGTTAGCTTCAGGAATTGTTTCAGGTTGGCCACTAGATGGCACTAGCTTAATACTGTACTTTTCCTGGAACTAAGTTAAATCTTTGGCAGGTGAGATGTTTGCAAAAGGATGTAACAACAGACTATGCAGCCAAGGATTTAATGGAGAGGCATTTGCCTTTCTTCTCTTTTACGTTCTCCCTTGTAGCCTCTTTTTCTCCCTACCTCATACACGAGAAGTTTCTACAAGTGTGTGTAGGTTTGTATATGTCTATCTCGACTGACCCCAAGTTCAAAAGGGAATTTTTGTGGCTGATGACGATTAGAATCTGAGTTTTTCTACTCCTAGTCCACACTTTCTCTTCCACACTCTGATTCCTGGACTGATTCCTGGACTGAGAGGGAAAGATTGACTCAAAGTCACCAGGGAGTCTCTGTGCCTAAGTGGGGATGAGAACCTCGGTCTTCCTGCTGCTACCATAGTTCAACACCTTTACCTCTGACTCTTGGGCTGGGGGGGGGAGAGGGAGAGAGAGAGAGAGAGAATGAAGAGAAGGATGAGGGGGGACATGATAGCAGTCTTCCAATATCTCAGGGGCTGCCACAAAGAAGAGGGAGTCAAGCTATTCTCCAAAGCGCCTGAAGGCAGGACAAGAAGCAACGGATAGAAACTAATCAAGGAGAGAAGCAACCTAGAACTAAGGAGAAACTTCCTGACAGTGAGAACAATTAACCAGTGGAACAACCTGCCTCCAGAAGCGGTGAATGCTCCAACTGACCTTCAAAAATTCTTCTCTGACCTGTCGGTAAACAGACTTTACCACATCCCAAAGGACGGACTCGTCCCCCAACCTGAGCTACTGGAGGTTCCAGGGAACCAACTTTTATTATTATTATTATTATTATTATTATTATTATTATTATTATTATTATTATTATTATTATTATTATTATTATTATTATTATTATTATTATTATTATTATTATTATTATTATTATTATTATTTATACAGGCTGTCAGATTATTATTATGCAGAATTAATAAATTGCTTTCAGTTACGTTTATCACTGTGATGTTTAATTTTCATGGTACTTATTTTCAGCTGTAGAGAAATCTACCCCTGGTGGCAGGGAGTCGTCACACAAGTAAAGAAGATAGGCTACCACTTGCGAAGCTCTAGAAATATTACCTAAAATGCAGGAGGAGTGAGCGAGAGCGCCATCCCTGGAGTACAAACCGTACGTCCCCAAGTAAGGGGAAACAACCTTCTGTAAGAGAGTTTCCAACTTCAAATAATCTTCAGTAACTCCTTTCGATTCATGAACACCCTGAAAAACCAAAAGGAGAACACTGCTTCAGTTTTTTTTTTTTAAATCAAGTATAACCTGTTGGATTGAAATGAACGGGAAGTGCAGGGCTGGAATTAGATTGGTTTGGACCAGGAGCTCTTTGCTAGAAGAGACGATAACTAGCTGGTTTACCCATCCGTGTTCATCCATCAGGAAGGAATCTGCTTAACCTAGAGATGGAAAACATCCATATCAACCTTCTTAACTAGAAGGTTCCTCTGGCTCACCTTAAGAAGCCTCCCAAGATATCTGTCCACATGGTTAGATCACTGGCCATCAACCTACCCAGTTATCACTTGATGGCTGGCCAATAGTCCCCAAGTCTTTGCTTGCTGTAGGCACCTAGCCCGTTTTTCCTTCAATTTATCTTCTTCCTTGGTTAGTTTCTTTTTCTGGGTTGGCCAATTCATGGTCTTGCACAGGGGTCTTCAAACTTGGCCCTTTTATGACTTGTGGACTTCAACTCCCAGAATTCCTCAGCCAGGCACGTGCCTGGCTGAGGAATTCTGGGAGTTGAAGTCCACAAGTCATAAAAGGGCCAAGTTTGAAGACCCCTGGTCTTGCACAAACTCAACAGATGGGGCTGATTCAATAAGCAGATGATCCATGTTGTGCAAATGCAGCCACAAAGACACAGCAACCCTGACAATAGGATACGGATGGTGTTCTTGGACAGCAAAGGAAAAAATTATGTCCACCTTGAGTGTCTTGTGGGATAAAAAAGAGGCAGACGCTCTTGTCCTGAATTCTCATTTTTGGATCTCAATTTGCAAGAAGGGGCAGAGCCACGGATTTGTAAGTGATTAACAAGCTGCAATGGGAACTAACTTGAGCAGCAAATTAAAATAGCAACTTCAGGAGCGACACAACACGTGTTTAAAAAAAAAAAGGGGGGGTGTCATGCAGCTGGCATCTTGATTTATTTATTTTTTCTCCTACTAGGATGTCCCTGTTAGTAGAAGGTCCTCTGAACAAAAAAGCAGGAAATTTTTCCCGAGCTGCTTGAAAAGGAGCCAAGACTGACAAATGCCAGAGATTTAACAGAATCCTGCTTTCATTTCCAGGCCATCTCCTTCTTCCGCTATTTCCTTTTTGTAACCTCTGATCTGAACAGGGGAGGACAGGATCATTACAAAGAAAAAAGGCAGGGGGCAGGAAGGACTGAGTTAAAGCAGCCCAAACAGAGCCAATTTGAAGAGGACCGAGATGGAAAGAGGCAACGCTGAAAAGCGGAAAGAGGAGCGGACATGGCACCGATCCAATTAAAACAATCCAATGGGATGAATTTTTTGCTCATATATCCAGAGGGACTGCTGTCAGAGAGAGCAATTTAAGTGCAAGTAGGACAAGTCACGGGTCAGAAATATTCCCTGCACGATGCTGCACCAAGCTTAAGAGTTAATTACTGTTTGTCTTCACTGAGTAGCACAAGGCAGAGAGGGGTCCGCTCAGAATGACTCCTGCCTTCTGCAGCGAGAGCGTTTTCCCTCTTGCATCTCAAGCTGGAACTGGCCTGGCAACTCTCTTGCGCAGGGGTCTTCAAACTTGGCTGCCTTAACACTTGTGGACTTCAATTCCCAGAATTCTTCAGCCAGGTATGCTGGCTGAGGAATTCTGGGAGTTGAAGTCCACAAGTCTTAAAGCGGCCATTTTGTGCTTCTCCAGCCATAGGACACGGCTTGCATTCTCTGCTCACTCCCCAGATGGAGAGGCCCTCAAACCAACCTCCCTGTGTGTGTGTGTGTGTGTGTGTGTCCTCAGAGGGATTAAAAAAAGGCCCAGTGGCAGCTGTGACCATGTGAGGGACGCTCCCCTCCCTTTTTTACATGCATTTTGACATTTTATGACCCTCTGAACTTCCCTCACCCGCTTTGGCCCACTTTTCCTTGTGGAGCACAAAAGATAGGAAATTTTTTTAAAGCTATTTCTGATTTTCCTATGACGCTCCGTGGATTTTTAAAAATATTTTTGGTGCTATGATTTGCTTTGTTCTATTCTATATTGTTCGCTATGGGCACTTTTTATGGGATTGTGGAAAACTCTCCGGCTAAAGAGCCCAAATTTAAATGACATTTTAAAGAAACAATCTTGAAGCAGCGAGTTAAAAGCCACGCTATTAAAAAAAAACACCTCTTCACATACTTCACTTTTTTATGGCAGATATTTTAGGTGAGTTTTCCAAATAAGAAGCAATTTGGTTCTTTCTCCCCCCCCTCCCCCACACACAATGGCTGCAGTTTTCATTCATTGCTGTATACAGGAATATACAGTATAATAGTTCTGTTTCACTGGAAAAAGTTCTATAAAATATTCTGGGAACCTTTGGCAAGTATACAACGTGATACAAATTTTAAGTGGCAGTAAATGCAATAAATACCATAACTTTATTTATTTGTATACACACACGTTTCTTTGGGCCTCCTAGCAAAGTTCAACAGCTGTGACTTACAGAAAAGAAGCATCTTACAATATGTTGTCTCAAATAGCTGGGTAATCTGTTTTGGACGCCTCACCCAGTTCCTAGAAGATAATTGAAAAGCTTCCCCAGCCAGGCTGGTGCCTGGAAATCTGAATTTATGAACAACTCAAAGTTCTCCACTCAGGAATGCTATTCCTTGGGGCAGATGGCGAAAGGACTGAAAACCATGAGTCTGATCAGATCTGCTATTTAAGAGGACAAAGGCCAAGTAGAATGGATGCCACATTCGTGTGTCTTTTGCGTCTTCGTTGCAAAAAAAAAGTGGTTTGGAAAGCGAGGCCCTTTTGATATGTCTGTGGAGATTCTCAGTCATTCAGGTCATGGTTTTCCTTTCTGCTTTGTTTTTCCTTGAAGACATTTCGCTTCCATCCAAGAAGCTTCTTTGTGTTCTGACTGAATGGTGGAGAATGGAAGAATTTATATTCCTTGCAGTCATCTGGTTGTTTATATTCCTTGCAGTCATCTGGTTGTTACCCAGATGACTGCAAGGAATACAAATCTGTCCATCCTCCACCATTTAGTCAGAACTAAAGAAGCTTCTTGGATGAGAGGCAAAACATCTTCAAGCAAAAACAAAGTACACTTGCTTTTTGAAAAAGCAACTTTGGGGCCCTTTTGATGTATTTATATCAGTGGTTCTCAACCTTTTTAATGCCGCAACCCCCAACCGGTCGTAAGTCAAGGACTAAACCGGTCGTAAGTCGAGGACTAAACCGGTCATAAGTCGGGGACTACCCAACCGGTCGTAAGTCGAGGACTTTCCCTGCCCGGGAGTGCCGCGCATGCGTGGTTCCACCCCCTGTGCCGGCCGAGGCTAGCTGGCAAGCGGCAGAGACGGAGCAGGCCGACCACCAGCTGGCCCAGCTCAAGGGAGGTAAGGCACCCGCCGGAAAAGGGGAAAAAAATGGCAGACAGCCTTGCTTGGCGACCCCTGTGAAATGGTCGATCGACCCCAAATGGGGTCGCGACCCATAGGTTGAGAACCGCTGATTTATATATTACGTGTTGAGTTTTATATTCCCATCTTCTGTTCAGGAGCTCAAAACGGCATTCACAGAACTTCTTTCCCGTTTCTCAATTACAATCACTCTTTGAGAGAAGGGCTGGTCCAAAATCACCCAGAGAGCCTCCATGTTTGCCCCCGCCTTTTAGTTCAGCATCTTCACCACTATCCCACATCACAGTGCTCTCTAATAGCTAAATCCAGGAGAAAAGGAATACAACTGGACAGATGTTCTCTCCCACAATCAAGGAAAGCATTAGAAAAGATACGTTCACTTTCAGACTGACGTCTTACAAAATATTCTGCGGATTCAATTCCACCCAGGAGCATCCATGAAGGAAGCAGAAAAAAGTCAAGATGATTTTTTTTTTCAACATACAGGCAGCTGTCGACTTACGACCATAACTGAACTGGCAATTACGGTCGTAATTCGTGAAGGCTGTTAAGCAGGTCAGTGTACGACCACATCCAATTTTACACCTGGTTTTTTTGCAGCTGGTGTTAAACAAACATGGCAGCTCTAAAGTAAACACCATGTCCGCTAAGTGGATCCATTGTTCGCCATTTTTTTGTTCGCTTTTTTGCTAGAAACCGGAAGCAATCATCAGTTTCTAGCAAAAAAAAAAAAGTTGTCAATTGCAGTCACATGACAGGGACCCTCCAAATGGCCATAAAGGCAGTCTGGTTGCTGAGCACCCAAAATGCTGTCATGTGACTGCAGTGCGTGCGTGCGTGTGTGTGTGTTCCCATCAGAACTTCAAATCTGGATAATAAGTATCCTTTTGGGGGATCTGTTGTAGCTTCAAGTGGTCACGAAGTGATCGGTTGTAAGTCAAGGACCTACTTGCCCTCTGCATGTGCATTGCATGTAAAAGAGGGGCAGGGCCTTGCATCTGTGGGGGGCCATCTTGACTTTTCAACCCTCCTGCTCCATCTACCACTCAAAGCCTACAATTCAGTGAGGTGTGCACCAAGGGCGAGCCAGAAAAATCCATACCTGTAGGATGAGTAACATTTGGATGATTGAAGGCGGAATCCTTGCGCGGGAACGGGACAAAGCATCTTCCAGTTTTATATTGAGAGTTATAATATTTCTGAAGTGCAACAGGGCCAGCTGACGGACAGGGGGTTCCTTCCCCTGCAGGAAACAAACAAACATTCTCAATTATTTGTAGAGTCTTGTGGATTTGAAATTCAAAAAGCCTATTCCCTGGTTGCCACTGAGTGAGCTAGAGGCTGTTCCATGAACATTTAGTCCAAATGAAAATACAGATAGTTCTCGAATTGCAACAGTTCATTTAATGACCGTTTAAAATTACAATGGCACTGAAAAAAGTGACTTATGAGCATTTTTCATCATTTTTTGCAACAGTCCCAAGATCATGTGATCAAAATTCAAAGGCTTGGCAACTGGTTCATACTTGTGACGGTTGATGTTCATGTGATCTCCTTTTGCGACCTTTTGACAAGCAAAATCAGTGGGGAAGTCAGATTCACTTAACAACCGTGTTACTAACTGATCATCTTCAGTGATTCACTTAACAACTGTGGCAAGAAAGGTCGTAAAATGGGGCAAAACTCACTTAACCAATGTCTCTCTTAACAACAGAAAATTTGGGTTCAATTGTGGTCGTACGTTGAGGACTACCTATACTGGGATTCAGGACTGGTGAACTTTCTATGGCCTAATTTTTTGCTGCAATTTTTATAGATTTAAACCGTACTGATTCTTTTCCTCTGTAATAAATTATATTGCTTTATCTTCCCCCTCTTATGGGAATTTCGTAGTATTTTGTCTGCTGTCCTTGTAGCCAGCACATTGGATTCTTACAAAATGGAGAGCCAAAAAACTGAAAATAATGTAAGAGCCTGAGCAACGAATTCTTAAACAAAAGTAACAGCGTTTAATCTGATGGATATCCCATGTCAGTGTTTCTAAACCTCAGCAACTTTTCAGTCTGTGGACTTCAACTTTCAGCATGCTGGCTGAGGAATTCTGGGAGTTGAAGTCCTCACTGCTTAAAATTGCTGAGGTTGATAAACAATGTCCATCATACATAGCACATTAAAGTTATAACTTTTCAGGATGTATTTCTGAGTTAGGCTCAGATGGGAAACCACTGAGTAATCCCAACACTGGAGAATGCTGGACTAGGAAGTTGAAAAAAACCCACATACTAGTCAACACATACTATTGCCACAAAAGTACACAAATGTGTCCATGAAGTTAAGACTCAGCTCAAGATTGTCCTTATGCACCTTGTAATAGTAGTTCTAATCATGAATTCCATTGCAAGGCTGGAGTGAAAATGGAGGTTAATGTTATGGAAGCACAAGGTTCTATGAAATTTAAGGCAAAAACAGAGCTTCAGGTTAGGGGGGAAAAAAACCCATAATTTCTTTTTGAGAATACACATTACTCAAAGAATAACTTATTGTTTAGAGAAATAGGAAAAAGTTAGTTAAGAATTCTAATTTTAATTTCTTTTTCCGAGTGTGTGTTTTTAACTCTTCTGTCTCTAGTGATTATTGTTTTTACGTTTGTGTCATAAGTACTGAGTTGCTTCTAAATCAGAGGAGTTTAGCATTATATTGGGATCTCTTTGGACCATTTCCTCTTCCCAGACCAATTTTTACTTGGAAGTTCTTCAACAGTGCTGTGATTGGAGCAGTCCCATACAGGTAGTCCTTGACTTACAACCACAATTGACCCCCAAATTTATGTTGCTAAGTGAAATACTTGTTAAGTGAAGTTTGCCCCATTTTACGATCTTTCTTGTCCCCGTTAAGTAGATCATTGCAGTTGTTAAATTAGCAACATGGCTGTTAAGTGAATCTGACTTTCAAATTAACTTTGCTTCTCAGGTGGTCACAAAAGCTGATCACATGATCCCTTGGACCCTGCAATCATCCTAAATATGAACCAACTGCCAAGCATCCAAATTCTGATCACGTGACCATGGAGGGGTGCTGCAAAGGTCATAAGTGTGAAAAATAGTCATAAGTTACTTTTTCCAATGCTGTTGTAATCTTGAATGTTCGCTAAATGAACTGTTTTTAAGTTGAGGATGACCACTTTTTGAATTCTTTCGCCACGGATTGCGGTGAGCACACCTATTTAACATTTAAAAAGAGTGTTTCCCTTTTTCTTTTCTCGGTTTATAAAATCAAAGATTGTTTTTAGTTATCTCGTGTGAGATGGGTCTATTTCCCCAAGGAGCAGAGATGATCCAAATGGGCGAAACGCCAAACAGGCCTCTCTTGAATTACACTGGAGTGGTTTAAAAAAGATGCAGAAAGAGACTATTTTTGCACCAAAGGCCTTTTTGCCTTCTTCTCTGAAATGCTGTTCAATGTAGGGAAATAACCTGAATAGCACAGCAGAGGAGGACATTTTTATTTCAAATGTTTTTTCCTGCATGGTATTTTGCTAGACTGCCTAGTGAAAGGCCTGCAGCTCTTTTCATCAATCATCGGAATTCCATTTACTGGTTTATCTGGATTCCAAAGCACCACAATTACATTTTACCTGCACAGGGTAGAAGATGGCCTGCAACATGGGCAGGACGTCACTGAAAAAGAAATCCCAGGTTTCAGCCAAGGTATCCAAAAGTTTCTGTCCTGTAAGTTAAAAACAAAAGGCGAGTTAAACTGAGGAACTTCTAAAACCAGGGTAGGCAACCTTGGCTCTTTTATGACTCGTGGACTTCAACTCCCAGAATTCCTGAGCCAGCATGGCTCAGCTTGGAAACCTCTCTCTTTCCCCTCAGCATGGCTGGCTCAGGAATTCTGGGAGTTGAAGTCCACGAGTCATAAAAGAGCCCAGGTTGCCTACCCCTGTTCTAAAGCATAAGTAATTGCATGGAAATACAGGAAGTTCTCGACTTAATGACTGTAATGGAGGCTGTCCATTAGGATCGTAAAGCAGTCACGTTGTAACCAGACCCATTTTTAGGAACTTTTTTATGGCGAATTGATTGTGTGCTATGAAGTCGAATTGATTGTGTGCTATGGCCCGTTTTTGCTGAAAGCTAGAAGTAAACACTGGTTTTCAACAAAAAGGTTGTCAATCATGGTCACGTGACCATGGGATGCTGCAAACAGCTATAAATGTAGCTGGTTGCTGAGTGGATGAAATGCAGTGACGCGACTGTGCTGGGGTGGAGCACCGACTGTTGGAACTTTGGGGGGAGGGGACTGTCATAACTTCAAATGGTCGCTAAGTGACCAGTCATAAATTGAGAACCACCCGTAGGAAAGCCAACTACAGGTGATCCTTGATTTACGACCACAATTGAGCCCCCAAATTTCTGTTGCTATGCGAGACAATTGTTAAGTGAATTTTGCTCCATTTTATGACCTTTTTTGCCACACTTGTTAAGTGAATCACTGCAGTTGTTAAATTAGTAGCACGGCTGTTAAAGAGAATCTGGCTTCCCCGTCAACTTTGCTTGTCGGAAGGTCGCAAAAGGGGATCATGTGACCCTACCAGACACTTGCAACCGTCATAAATATGAGTCAGTTGCCAAGCATATGGATTTGGATCACGTGAACATGGGGATGCTGCAGTGGTCGTAAGTGTGAAAAACGGTCATAAATCACTTTTTTCAATATTTTGTAAGTCTGAACTGTTGCAAGTCAAGGACTACTTGTATTTCATAAAATCCAGGAATGAGAGGAAATTCTTTATTTTGTTCCCTTTCAAAAGATAGGTGGAAGGGTAAAGGAGCTCTTCCCCAAATCTATATACTGCATTTTCCACTTGAGACCCATAAGTGGATTCTGAACAGTTATAGGTAGATAATAAGCCGCACAGTGTCCCGAAATAAAATAAAAAAGTGCCTTGTCCAGATGTGAGCCTGGCACTGTCTTGCTATCTGTTAAAGGAGACGGTGTTTTTTCAGGCATCTGCTTTGAGTGTTGTCTTTAATGAGTAGCTTCCTTAAAAAGCTCCAAGGATCCTCCAGACTTTTACTGGAGCTCAGAAAAGAGGTTCCTTTAATGAATAACAGAAAAATGCCAGATTCACATTTGGGCAAGGTCCAAAGCAATTACTTTCCAAGCCTGCACAGCTTAATGCATTAACAACTACTGTATGGAAACTGTATTTTCAGATAATAGCCTATTGCACGCCATAATAGAACTGCAAACTGAAGCATGCAAAATATTTTCAGATTAAACATCCCATTCCCAACTTCCTGGGAATAATATTGCTTGGAAACAGAGGGCAGGACAAACTGTTTCAGAAGTGTTGGGAGTTACAGTTTTAAAACATTCTGCTTACCTCTCTAGGAAAAGTGTTTCTCAACCATGGCAACTTTAAGATGGTGGCTGAGGAATTCTGGGAGTTGAAGTGCACCCATCTTAAAGTTGCCATGGTTGAAAAACAGGGCCCTAGAATGTTTTTGTCAAACATTTCTGGCCGTGGGCTTCAAGTTTCACCACTTTTCACATGTGTATACATGGTGCAACCAACTCTTTCATCTTCTGAGTCCTGCCTGGGTCTAGGTTGTCTGTGACACTGTGTGTTTTTAATTGCTTTACTTGTTTTTGCAGCTGTAATAAATTCATCCTCTTCCTCATCACAGCAAAGAGTACAGAGAAGAGCAACAAAGATTAGGGGACTGGAGGCTAAAACATATAAGGAACGGTTGCTGGAACTGGGTATGTCTAGTTTAATGAAGAGAAGGACGAGGGGGGACAAGATAGCTGTCTTCCAGTATCTGAGGGGCTGCCACAAAGAAGAGGGAGTCAGGCTCTTCTCCAAAGCGTCTGAGGGAAGGACAAGAAGCAACGGATGGAAACTAATCAAGGAGAGAAGCAACCTAGAACTCAGGAGAAACTTCCTGACAGCTAGAACAATTAACCAGTGGAACAACCTGCCTCCAGAAATGGTGAATGCTCCAACACTGGAAGTTTGTAAGAAGAGACTGGACAGCCATTTGTCCGAAATGGTATAGGGTTTCCTGCCTGAGCAGGGGGTTGGACTAGATGACCTCCAAGGTCCCTTCCAACATCATCATCATCATCATCATCATCATCATCATCATCATCATCATCATCATCATCATCATCATCATCATTATTATTATAAAGGTGGCAATGCTGTGTTCCTCAGTCCATAGAAAAATGGACCCTCCAGCCAGGGTGCAAAGGGACTTTTACAGTCAAGTAAAATCAAGGCCTTGAAAAACTCAGGGAGAGCCCTACTTTAAAGAGCCAGCAAACGATCCTAAGGGGGAACCAAATCTCAGCTACTCTTTGCTCAGATTTCTTAGGCAAATTTCATTTCCTTGCCTGCCATGCAAAGCCACTGGTTTGTGGTCAGGATGGAAGAAAAGGTAGGAGGTTGATGTGCATCAAGGATGTTTAATTAGGGCTGTGCAAGCAGGAAAAGGATTTGCAGGGGGCACTTCAGAAAACATGCAGGAGCACCAATTGTGTTGCGGGAGGGCGAGTATGAATAGGAATGGAGACCCCCTCTCCCTCCCCAGCACAGGGCAATCAAGTGAATGCAAAGTAGTTTTATATACAAGCTTAATGCAAAGCATATTATAGTATTTTAACTATAGGTGTTTATGTATGTGTAAAGGGACCAAGCATAATAGTAAGTACATACACTAATAAGGTCTACAAGTATACTAGAAGAGTTTTTTAACGAAATGATTTGAATTCTACCCTTTTAAGTTAGAACAGGGCTTTTCAACCAGTGGTACGGGTACCACCTGTGGTACTTTGGCACCTGGCAGGTGGTACATGACCATACCAGAAAAGTGGTAGCGGGGGAGGGGAATGAGCTGAACCGGTGGCAGCACCGCACAAGCCTAAGCGAGAGATGGCTGGAGCTGCAGGGCTGTCAGGGCTCAGCGGAAGCCCCAGGATCAGCGCTTCTTCGGGGCTGTCAGGGCTCAGTGGAAGCGCCAGGATCAGTGCCAGGCTCCAGCTGGAGCTCGGCGCTGATCCTGGTGCTTCTGCTGAGCCCAGAAGAAGCGCCGATCAGCTGGAATGTTGCAGCATCTCCAGGGTCTTGTGATTTACATTCAGATGCTTGGGTCATGTGAAGTGGCCAAAACCTGCTGCAACCACCCAGCAGACGGGGGGAATAAAAACCAAACACCCCCACCCCACCCCCGCTGCCAATCCTCAACAGAAATGCTCACAACAATGAAAACCTCGGACAGGAGGAAGAGCGCCACCAGGTGGGCAGGCAGGTGTCTTTCTCAGCTGTGGCTTGGGGGGCACTTTTTTCAGAGCCATTTTAACTTCGAACAGTCACTAAGCGAACTGTTGTAAGTCAAGGACTACCTGTACTTCATCAGTTTTTTCCTTTTTTTTTTTTTGGTCAAGTTTTTGACACCTTGCTAGGCGACTGGTGGTACTCGGATAGTGCCATATCCTAAAAGTGGGACAATGGCTGAAAAGGTTGAAAAGCCCTGTACTAGAAGAGTTTTTAACGAAATGATTTGAATTCTACCCTTTTAAGTTAGAATGCAAAACCGCCAGCTGCTGATTTTCTCTCCTCCCGCGCCAGCTTATTCACAGGTTTAGGAATGCTGATCTCCTCTCCATAACTAAAACAAAGTTTATCCTTCTCACTTTTCCTGAACCCATCCTTGTCCTGTTCTACAGCACCTGGTATGTCTGCTTTGTCATTCTCCATTGTCCAAGGCCCGATCTCCTTCTGGCCTCTCTTGCTTTACTTTTCATCTTTCATCTTCATTTTTCACTCCAGCAGCATCTCCTGTCCAACCTAGAGGATTCCCCACCTTCTGGTCTACCAGCTCTGGCATCTTTTACAGGTAGTCCTTGACTTACGACAGTTCATTTAGTGACCGTTCGAAGTTACAGCGGCACTGAAAAAAGTGACCTATGACAATTTTTCACACTTGCGACTGCTGCAGCATCCTGGAGTCATATGATCCCCCTGTGACAAGCAAAGTCAATGGGGAGACCAGATTCACTTCACAACCGTGTTACTAATTTAAGAACTGCAGCGATTCACTTAACAAATATGGTGAGGAAAGTCGTAAAATGGGACAAAACTCACTTAACAAATGTCTCACTTAACAACATACATTTTGGGCTCAATTGTGGTCGTACTGCTAAGTTGAGGACTATCTGTATACTTCTTTCTTTCAAAACCTACAGGCCAGCTTGCAGGTGATTCTAAGAAGTTTAAATGTTTTTTTTCCTTTCCTTTTTTCTCTCTCAGTACTTTTGTGCCTAAGCTATGCCCTTGATTGTCAAACCACAAGAGAAAACAACACTAATTTTGACTCTTGCACATAATATTTTTGCTTCAGGGTAGTCCATTCTTCCAGATGCAGTGCCTCTTTAAAGCAGCGTCATTTTTCAGGTTTGCCCATGAACCAGAAAAAAAGACCCAGCTACTTTAAAGCAGGGCTTTTCAACCTTTTCAGCCATTGTCCCACTTTTAGGATATGGCACTATCCGAGTACCACCAGGCGCCTAGCAAGGTGTCAAAAACTTGACCAAAAAAAAAAAAAAGGAAAAAACTGATGAAGTATAGGTAGTCCTTGACTTACAACAGTTTGCTTAGTGACTGTTCGAAGTTACAATGGCACTGAAAAAAGTGCCCCCCAAGCCACAGCTGAGAAAGACACCTGCCTGCCCACCTGGTGGAGCTCTTCCTCCTGTCCGAGGTTTTCATTGTTGTGAGCATTTCTGTTGAGGATTGGCAGCAGGGGTGGGGGGTGGGGTGTTTGGTTTTTATTCCCCCCGTCTGCTGGGTGGTTGCAGCAGGTTTTGGTCACTTCACATGACCTTGGGATACTGTGACCGTCATAAATATGAATCAGTTGCCAAGCATCTGAATGTAAATCACAAGACCCTGGAGATGCTGCAACATTCCAGTTGATCGGCGCTTCTTCTGGGCTCAGCAGAAGCACCAGGATCAGTGCCGAGCTCTAGCTGGAGCCTGGCGCTGATCCTGGCGCTTCTGCTGAGCCCTGACAGCCCTGCAGCTCCAGCCGTCTCTCTCTCAGGCTTGTGCGGTGCTGCCACCGGTTCAGCTCATTCCCCTCCCCCCCTACCACTTTTCTAGGATGGTTGCGTACCACCTGCTAGGAGCCAATGTACCACAGGTGGTACCCGTACCACTGGTTGAAAAGCCCTGCTTTAAAGAGTCATCCCCTTAAAGCAACTCTGTGGCTGTTTCCACGTGACTGCTTAAAGCAGTTGTATCCACTCTCAGACTGTGTGTACAGGAGTCTGGAAAAAAGGGATACTGCTGCTTTAAAGAAATATAGTGCTTGCATTCCCTATGTCCTGTTCGCACCTCTTTAAAATCATTTTGAAACATACACAGCCCTTAATCACCTTCATAAAACCGGATCTTATCCCTCAGGATCACCATGCCTTTTGTAAGCAACTGGTTCTGGAAAGAGAGCACAAAACAGTGTCAATTTTCACTACACGCTGTACTTAAACCACCTCAAGTTTATTTTTAATGACAGCTCATTAGAAAAAGGGTTGTTCACAGGCTTTTATTATTTGGCCTTTGCACACAACACTACATTGTGTGGGATTTCCCATCTTACCATATAATGGCAGAAAAAAGAGAAAACCTTCAAAAGATTTTATCCCTTTGAAATGGGATAGAGGGTAGAATTATACAGACGAACTCTTAGTGTTTATATGTAGCTTTCAGATGAGGCCAAGGAAAAGCAGACACACTTAGTATTTCCTTTAAATCTTGGTATTTAAGATTTGGTATTTGTCTTTCAATTACTTTGCATTTTATCAGCTTGTAATTCTTGCTGAAAATATGGACTACCTTCTTTAGTATTTGGTATCAAGATATGCTAAAGGACCCATTCTGAAGATGCCCTATTATCAGAAGTATTAATTAGTATTGTTCTTGTTGACATTATTATTGTTATCATTTGACATTTTGGGAATCTTAACTCCTACATTAACCTTATGCCCTGTATGGGTGGGGTTGACCCCACTCTCTCAGATTTTAGAAAATCAATAAGGATGCAACAATTGCATTCATTTTATAATTTAAATATTTGTAGATTTTGTTAACTCCTTTTAATTCTCATCTGAGCAAGGGGGCAGAGAAGAAATCTATTAAACAAGCAAATAATTTGGAAGCTGTTTAAATCAAAGGTTCTAATTGGCCAGACCTACTTCTTACCAAACATGGTACTTATTAAGAAGAACAAATTTATATCTAGGGGGACCATAGTCAAGACTGTGATTAAAGCCAGCTGTCATCTTGATTTTATTTTTTTACTCTCCTGCAACCGATATCTTACGTGAACGACTTGCACTAAATATATTACAGTATTTTGGAGAGCTAGCATTTTAAAAGATCCTTCTTGAAAGTATATATACTCTTTTCAAATATAATATACACGTTTTATACGCTGATCCATACATGCCAATTATTTGTCCCCACATAGAACCATTTTGCAAGTATTTCGCAAATTACCGTGACACAAAAAACACATTTTTATTGGACTAAAACTGGCTTACAAGGAATCTTTGCTGCCTGAGAACAATGATATGCAACTCTAGTGGGATCCAGGCATAAAGCAAGCATTGAACCTGAAGCATCTTAAGATGAGGCACAGTGCAAATAACCAAATAGAAAATGTTGGTACTTAAATTTCATAGGTGGGCAATATCAGCTATCAGTAATTTATTTGGCAACTTGCTTCAGCTAATAATAAAGCTTTCACTAAAACAGTAAAAGAGAAATCACAACAAAACAGAAGATTATACGAACCTGTAAATATTCAGTAAAAAAAGATCCCAACTCAGTTTTCAGAAGCTGCCTGTTCCAAAAAATATATATATTATAATAGATGAAAAGGATCATCGTATTTTAGTATACTTTATGTTAATTCATTGTTATTGCATTACAAATGCATGGATTGTCAGAAGGCATGATCAGAGAAGATGATGCTTTATTGGAATTCTCTAACTTGAGTCCTGATAACACAGAAATAAGCCACCTTCTCTTTTGTTTGATCTTTTGTTTCCCACCCAAATAGCAATTAAACCTAATTCTACTAATAGGTAATACTATTGTTTCTTAAATAAAATCTCTTTTTAAGCTAAGTTCTAATTGAGATGGTTTCATAAAGACACAATAAGAAAACAATCTGGACATGCCTTGGCCAAATTTATTAAATTTCAAAGAAGTAGGCTAGAAACTGGGAGATTGTTGAGTTCTAGTCCCATCTTAGACACAAAGCCAGCTGGGTGACTTTAGGTCAGTCATGCTCTGTCAATGGCCACCTGCATCTGAAAAACCTTGCCATGAAAAATGCAGGGACTTGTCCAGGCAGTCTCCAAGAATCGGAAGTGATTGAATGGAAGGGGGAAAAAATAGACAGAGGTTCTCTGAGAAATAGACAGAGGTTCTCCACACAGATTTCTCAGAGCAAAATAGCAAAATTAATGATTGCACAATAGTGGTAGACCAAAGTATATTAAAGCTTCCTAGACCAGTGGTTCTCAACCTTTTTAATGCCGCAACCCCCAACCGGTCGTAAGTCGAGGACTAAACCGGTCGTAAGTCGAGGACTACCCAACCGGTTGTAAGTCAAGGACTTTCCCTGCCCGGGAGCGCCGTGCATGCGTCGTTCCGCCCCCTGCGCCGGCCGAGGCGTAGCTGGCAAGCGGCAGAGACGGAGCAGGCCGACCACCAGCTAGCCCAGCTCAAGGGAGGTAAGGCACCCACCGGAAAAGGGGAAAAAAATGGCGGACAGCTTTGTTTGGCAACCCCCGTGAAATGGTCGATCGACCCCAAATGGGGTCGCGACCCATAGGTTGAGAACCGCTGTCCTAGACGGAACTTGGTTCTCCCTGGTGGTCCTGCTCCAAGACTCTCAAATAGCTTCTCCCAAGTTTGAAACTAGAATTAAGACTCACATTGATTGGCTGGTGGTTCACTAAGCTGAGAAAATGGCCATGTTATATCCATCATGATGTAATGCAATCTCATCAGCTGTGCTCATTTGCTACTTGGCTTACAGGCTACTTGGCTTACAGGCTACTTGGCATACAATTCCTTATTTCTTACATCCAAATGGGAAGGAAGAATCAAGGGATCAGGAAAATCAGCGGTTACTGTAAGACTTTAGGGTTATAATTTCTTGCCTTTTTAGAATTTGAGCCAGGATGAGATAGTAACAAATGTAGTCTCAAATCAGCCTCAGGAAATGGGTGGTGTCACCGACTTCCTCGGTTTTAGAACAGGAAATGTATCTTTCTAGTGGCAGAAATTCTACCCAGTTCACAAAGCTGAAGATTCTGCTTTCTTGCAATTTTGTATATGTTAAACATGGGGCTCTAATTAAGGATAATCATGATCTTATCTTCATAGCTCAATGTATTTTTAAGCGTACACTTAAAGATCAATGAATATGCTCAAAAATCAAACCTGCTAATGAGAATTATATTTTGTTTAAAAAAAAATAAGGAAATATTTTTATTAGAAATAAGCAAAGAACATTAATCACAGCTTTTCTCTGGATCGATTACCTTCATTTGAGCAAGGGCAACTCCATTTTACTCCAGCCCCATGGATTCTGATGAAGATGTGGCCACCAAACAAGATACTGCTTAGTGTAGCTGCTGAGGCCAAAGCTTGAGGGGTATAGGAACCCTACATCACTTGGAAGACTCTCATGGTAAGAGTGATCTTCTCAAGAAGAAGCTACAGGTAGTCCTTGACTTACAACCACTCATTTAGTGACGGTTCAAAGTTACAACCGCACTGGAAAAAAAATGACTTATGAAAAGTGACTTTCACACTTACGACCTTTGTAGCATCCCCATGCTCATGTGATCAAAATTCAGATGCTTGCCAATTGGTTCATACTTATCACTGTAGCTGGGTCCCAAGGTCAGGTGATCCCCTTTTGAAAAGCAAAATTAATGGGGAAGCCAGATTCACTTAACAACTGTGACAAGGAAGGTCGTAAAATGGGACAAAACCTGCTTAACAAATGTCTCACTTAACAGCAGAAAATTTTGTGGTCGTAAGTCAAGGACTACCTGTATTGTGGTCTAAATAGGTATGATCAATACTCGCTACACCTGAGTGCAAGGCAGGACTTTCCAAGAATTGTGCTTTTCCTTGATAGTCTGCAAACACTTGTAACAATGATGGAGGAAGCATCTCTTAGCTTCAAATCCTGTCTGAACAGGGAACCTGCTTAATAATAATAATAATAATAATAATAATAATAATATATTATTATTATTATTATTATTATTATTAAGTTGGAAGGGACCTTGGAGGTCATCTAGTCCAACCCCCTGCTCAGGCAGGAAACCCTATACCATTTCAGACAAATGGCTGTCCAGTCTCTTCTTTAAAACTTCCAGTGTTGGAGCATTCACCGCTTCTGGAGGCAGGTTGTTCCACTGGTTAATTGTTCTAACTGTCAGAAAGTTTCTCCTTAGTTCTAGGTTGCTTCTCTCCTTGCTTAGTTTCCATCCGTTGCTTCTTGTCCTGCCTTCAGGTGCCTTTAGAGTGACTCTACTTCTTAACTGCTGGTGTCAGACTCTGAGTACCTTGTATCCTGGAACTGCTACACTACCTAGCAATTCTACCCAGACTGCTTCTTCTACTATTGACCTTAACTTTTACTACTCCTTGACTCTTTCAAAGAACAGGACTGAGTCGGTGCCATGTGGAAAAGCATCTTGAAGCTTCTTGGAAGACCCCCACACACACCAAATTCCATTCTGATCAGCTCAGTTCTTTTAAGCAAAAGAGAGATTGCATTTCCAATGAGAAAAAGTGGGTGGGAAGCTCCCAAAACTGGTTCAGACTTGTTGATGGGACTTCCTAAGTCACTTGCATACGCTTAGAGTTGATAGCAGCTGTCTGTTCAGTTTCCTGTTCATTTTCCTGGAGGCACAAGGTTCACTCTTAGGTTAGACATTGTGCTTCAGAGACTGGACTCACAACTCATTTCACCTCCATTCTATTTTAACCCACCCTCTCCCACTCAGCATGCTTATTCAAGTCTGTCCAATTTCGCAATTGTTTAAAAAAGAAAACTATCCAATTTTAAAGATGTAAATCTGAAATTGCTTTTGCGTGAATGTCCCGAAGATTTTTTTTAAATTTTTTTTCAAGAAGCAACTGGACTTTCTTGTTTTTCTTTGAAGATGTTTACTTCTCATCCAAGAAGCTTCTTTAGCTCTGACTGGATGGTGGAGAATGGAAGATTTATATTCCTTGCAGACAGCTGCTCATTCACAAAACAACAACAACAACAAAAAAACCACAACCCTTTGGGACAACCATGACCTGGATGACTGAGAATCTCCATAGAGATTTTGCTATTGCATGGATTTTGGTTATATCTTTTCAGAGTGCATAACTTTTTCTATTACGGTATGCAATTTGGCAGGCTATTTTTTTTTTTGACGTAAACACCCCTTGCATACATTTTTTTCCTGTGCAATGTTCCAGGGAACATATGTTTTTCTGCCACTTCAACAAATATGAACCAATTCTGTCACGTCTGTGAGTTAATATAAACTTTCCTTTTTTCCTTGCCAAGAATAACAGATGTCCCCATTCTCAGCTGATTTCTGTCATCTCTGCTTGCAAGACAGCCCAGCCTTTCCAGTGAAGATGCCTTTTTTAAAAACTTGTATTTCTAATGATATTTGACACACATCACAAATATCAGTACTGTTGTAACTTCGGTAACTAAACGAATAATTATAAGTTGAGGACTACCTGTATTCTTCCTTATATGTTGCATCACTATTTTTTCTCTAGAGATAATATTGATTACAACTTTTCCATAGCTTTTAAGTATTATAATAGTTCTATATATTATAGATTGGTAATTTTACTATTCTTATTCTCAACAATCCTTTAGTTGCCTTATATAAATTGCATCATACTTTATCGTGTTGATTTTATGTCCCAAATTCTTAAACTTTAACTTACAATTTCACTTGTATTGTTAGATGATTTTATAGCTTGTTTTACGCTAATCAACGTAGATGGTTATGTTTTGTTTTGTTGTTCAATGACTGAAATAAAATGATGGACTAACTGACAAATTTAAAGCCCAAATGCTTGAGGATCTGGTATGGGGATTCTCTCCATGGGAAATGAAATCCATACTGGCAGCAAGGCCTGGCTGGATGACACTTATAGCATTCTGCATTTCTGCGTCCCTATCTACATTTGTGGTAACTGACTCTACCCATCGCTGGGTCCGTGCATGGATTTTACTGATATTAGAGCAAGTAGAGTTGCCGAAAAAAACATCCTGCCCATCTCATTGCACTTTAAAGGGCACGAATTCTGTAACCTGTGCAAAGTTGCCATATAGTTGACATCAGATCATGTGGCTCCATTGGACACCTATGGGAACAACACCTTACAAGCAAGAGCCAAAAAGCCAAGATGGTTGTCACCAACCAGTTACTGAAGCTGCAATCTTGAATTTTTGACCCGATCTGCGGATGGCAAGCTTGCAACTAACACAACCCACCGAAGGCAATCACTTGTTTTGTGGTTTGGCTTATTGGGTAGATCTTTTCTTTTTCATCCCAGTGACTTTCAGGTACATTGGACTGTGACACGTGCATCGTCTCGCACAAATTATTTAAAATTACCACTGAGTATTAATCCATGCAGGCCAATTAGTTGTTGAGAGTACTCAGAAAACAGTGAGAAATTTATCTAGCAGCAGGGATAGAAAATGTTGATTTACTCACCTGACTCCTTCGTTGAGATTGTAAAGCTCGTGGTCTGCAAGCCCCTTTCTCTGAAACACAGCTATGACTCCATTCTGGATACTGCAAGAGAGATGAGAAAATATAGTGTGAATCTCTAACAATAATAATAATAATATTCCAATAAGCACCATTTATTTTGGGAGGCAAGTACCCTCGGTTGCTGCAGCTGTTAAATTAGACCAGTGGTGGTGAACCTATGGCACTGATGCCAGAGGCGGCACTTGGAGCCCTTTCTGTGGGCACACGTGCCATTACCCGAGCCTTCCCTCCCCCCGCGACCCTCACCAGCAGCCCCCCTGGAGGAGAGTCGCCCCTGAGTGTGGCCTACGCAGAGCAGCGCAGCCAAGGACATAGCAGCCAGGAGCATAGACAAGACTCTGCCCTCACGCCCCATCCCGCACAGTTGATGCTGCAGGGCGCGGGGAGAGGGCATGGCCGCCATGGTGCTGCTGGGCTGCCTGGGCCATCTGCAGCGGGCCCCGGAGGTGGTGAGTGGCCCTGCGGGCAGTCGGGGTGGGGGCGGGGCAGGGGGTGGAGCAGGGGCGGGGCCAGTTTTTGGGCACTCAGTCTCTAAAAGGTTCGCCATCACTGAATTAGACTTCAAAAGAAAAGATAAAAGAATCTGGAGTAGAATTTTCAGGCTAGCTTCTCATTTTCCACTAAGTTAAAACCAAACTCAGTTAACTACTATATTTCAGTCATCTAAAAGTTGTCTGACTCAAATGATATTAGCATGGGAAAACCACATTTGTCCTCCACTCTGCCCACCTTCAGAGGGCATGAAGAAGTAGTATCAACCTTGTAACATTGCCTCTTGTTTGGAACAACTTTGTCACTGGTGTTAACCCTAGTCTTCCTTAAGACACTTTAGGCACAAGCTTAACACGTAGCCCTTGACTTACGATCACGCCGGAGCCCAAAATTTCTGTGGTTAAGTGAGACATTTGTTAAGTGAATTTTGTCCCATTTTATGACCTTTCTTGCCACAGTTGTTAAGTGAATCACTGTAGTTGCTATCTAAGTGTAGATGACAACCCTGTATTATCTAATATAAAATCAGTTAGTTATCTGATTTTCTGACTGAGTTTGTCAGAAGATTGCAAAAGGTGATCATGTGACCCAGGGACACTGCAACGGTCACAAACAGGAACCAGTTGCCAAGCATGTGAATTTTGTTCACGTGACCGTGGGGATGCTCCCGCGGTCGCAAGTGTGAAAACTGGTCGTAGGTCCCTTTTTTTAAAGGGCCGTTGTAACTTTGAACGGTCAATAAATGAACTATTGTAAGTCAAGGACTACCTGTACTTTTTTACCCACATCTCTGTAGATTTAGCTTTATGGCAGAGGTCCCCAACCTTTTGGGCACCAGGGACTGGTTCTGTGGAGAGAGATTTTTCCATGGACTGGAGAGTGTGTGGTTTTGTGCTGCCTGCATCTCGTAGATGGGGCTTTGCTTGTTTGTGCGGACCGGTTGCTGGCATGCCGTGGCCCGGTACTGGTCTATGGACCGGGGGTTGGGGACTCCTGCTTTATGGTATTAAGTGAAGCTTAGGGCAGCTACTATGTTTGTAAAAACCAGCATGCACAACCTCAAAATTAATATGGCACATCAGGTGCAGGGCAGAAGAGGAGTAATAATACAAAATAAAAATGCAATCAAAACCCCGCCATTTTTTTTATGTGCATCTTATATAAAAAAGAAGTTGGGCTTTGAACTTGTAGTCATGACCACCATCTCGACCTTTTTAACCCTCCTCTCTGCAGGTGCC